TTTTTTCCCCATATGATCATCAGAACATACTTGTTTAGTTCCAAATCATGTTGGTATTTTAAATTTAATTATAGATTAGATTAACTTGGGGAAATATCTGCTTTCATACTTCTGACTCTGTTTCTTAAATCTATTCAAGATGTCTTTTCTTCCTACTTCCTGGGGAATTTGGAAGTTTTCTCTTGATCAATCTTAGAAGTTTCTTAGTATGTCTATCCTACAGAATATTTTGTTCCTGTTTTAATGGGGTCTTTGATTCCCTTATATCTTTGAGTGTGGTTGTAGTTTGCGTTTAATAAAAAGCTTTGATTTCTATGTGTCACTTTATACCCAGTCACTTATTGAATCCTTTTAGAGGTATTAGTAATTTTTCAGTGGAGTCATTTGAGCTTTCTAGTTATATAATTCCTACTATCCTTTAATTCTCTCTCTTCCCTAAAATAATAAGTTGAGATAATAACAGACATTCCTTTCTTCTTCCTGACTTTGTTGACAATGTTTCTGTTTCCTCATGAAACGGATATTTTATCAAGCTAAGGAAGTATCTACTTATTTCTATTTTATTTTGTTAAGGGTTTTAGTGAGAATTTGTGATTGAGTTTTATTAATGTGTTTTCAGCATTATGGAGAGGACTGAATGAATTCTGTCTTTTGAGTTATTAACATGTTGAAATATATTAGCAGCTTTTCTAATATGAAATGATGTTTGCATTCTTGGCGTATACCTGGCCTGGCTGTTATGTATTATTTGAATGCTCTAGTAAATTTCATTTAGGATTTTCACAACGGTATTCAGAAGTGAATCTGGTATGAGTTTTTTTCCTTGCCTGTGCTTAGCTTGATTGGTTTGGAATCAATGTTATGTTAGCTAATGTAAAAAACAGAAGAAACCTCCTATTTCTTTTCATGTTCTTCAGTAGTTTAAATACATTTGTTTATGTGTTCCTTAAAGGTTAAGTAGAAACCTCTGTGAAAAAATTATCACTAAGAGACCACCAGGACCCAAGGGTTTCAGAAAGAGTGACTCAGGACAAGGTCATAGACGTCTTTGTTAACCTACATGCATTTTTAGTCTTTCCTGGACAATGGATTTATTAACATACACAGTTTTAGAAATTAATTCATCTCAAGATTGTGTACTTCAACCTTTAAGCTAATAGCCATAAATTTCAGAGTGATCATTTCATAGTAAGTCACTTACTTAGCTTACTTTGTAGAATGATCACTTTTCTCTACATTTTGCTTATTTTCTTCTTTCTGTTATTCATGCCCCTTTTTCTTGTATAGACTAGCAAGTAGTTTATCCAGTTTATTTTTCCCAGTGAGCCAACTTTCATATTTTTCTGTAGTTTTATTAATGCACATTGTAAAGCTTATTAATTTAGACCCTCTTCTTGTAAACTTATATTGTTTTTCAAACTTCTTTAAATGTCATGATTCATTTTCTTCTTTGTCTGTCAATGTGAGTTTTGGGGACTCTGGGCAGTCCTCCCCTCAACACATGTCATGACATTCAGTGTCTTCATTGTTTCCCTCATAGTTTGCACCTTTTTTTATGATTTTTCCCTTTGATCTAAAAGTTGCTTTAAAGAGTTTTTTATTTTTCTCCATTTACAAAGTCAATTCCTAAGTTGTTTGTTGTTGCTGTTATTTTTCTCATCTCACTGTTGATCTATCTGGATTTTATTGGGGTCAATTTTTATAACAATTATATTATATGACCTTAAAAGATATCTTTATATCAGGGTATAGTGTTCAATTGTATCCAGCTTATTACATTATCTAGACCTTTTGTATCCTTGTATTTTGATTCATTACTGGATATTTATCCATTTATTTTGTCCTGGGTTGAGAAATATGAATGAAGCCTTCTACAACTTCTTTTTGTTGTTTTCCCTTACACAACGGTCTCGTTATGCCTTTCTCACTCCCTTCCTTTTTCTTTCTTTCATTAAAGAGTTTTGCTTACCTAAAATTGTACAAATCACATTTAAAGCTCGATTCATCTTTATAAAGCAGACCCACCGTGCTGCCACCCCATGGCCCAAGAATGAGGATATGAGGGACCTTCCAGGCCACTAGCCTGGCCCAGCTCACTGCCCCTGACCTCCACAAATATCTACCTCCTTGTTAGAAAAGTGGGAAAACAAAACCCCATTCTGCCTGCTCCCCGTGGCTCCATGAGCCTCACGATGACAGATGTCCGAGCACCTTGTCTCTGGTGCAGCACAGCACAATGCCAGCTCTCTCGCTGCAAGGCCTCGTGGTGACACGCACTAGCACAGCCGTGTGTGTCCTTTGTTTGGGCACATGAGTAACGCTGTGGCCAAGCTGAGGTCAATGTCTATTTTAATTTATATTATCTATTTACATTATTGTTTATCTTAAAGCAATGTTTACTCCCCCCACCCCCACTTCACCCATAACCCACTATTCTGGCTCCTCACACTATCCGTTTCTCATATTTGCTTTGAACTTCATATAAATGGAATTACATAATGTCCAATTGTTCTAGCATAACAGAATTCATGTGTGATCTCTGCTGATGGCCATTGTTTAGATTGTTTTCATCTCTGGGACTGATGCAAATACTGTTGCTACGGACACTCTTGACAGTCTTTTCAGCAGACACATACATTTCTGGTTGACAACACACCTCGAATTGGAACTTTTGAGTATTAGACTATACATGTTTTAAGTTCAGTAAGTATTACCAAAGAGTGCTCCAATGTTGCTGAACCGAGTTAGAACCTCATCATTAGTTTACGAGCATTCTTACTCCACCATGTCCTTGTCAACACTTAGTATTTTCCACCTCTTTTGTTCTAGCTATTCTGGCAGGTATGTGGACGGACCTGGTGGTGATTTTCCTTTGCTTTGGATGAATAAAACTGAACGCTATGCTTATAATGTTCCTGTGTTTATTGGCAAGTCTTTGTGTAGATGTCTTTGACTGTGAAGTGGACAAGTCTTTTACCACCCATGTTTCTACTGAGTCTTTTTCTGGTGGAATTTTTGGTTTTTAGAAACATATTTTGAATACAGATCTTCTCTTGGTTATGTGCAGCACAAATCACTTCACATGTGTTGAAAATATCTTTCGATTTTTTAGCTATCTTTTGATAAGCAGAAGTTCTTCATTTTAATGCAGGTGAATTCATTAATTTTTAACTTGATGGTGGTATTTTTTGTGTTCTAAGAAATCTTTGCCTAGGCTCTTTCTCCTTTTCCTTGAAGTGATATAGAAGAGTTGAATGAGACAGCACTGTCTGTACAGTACATAACCCTTCACACTCCCTTCTTCCTCTCTCTCCTGATGGGTCACAAAGTCTTCGAATCCCAAGTGCCCCAACCCCATAAACTCACCTCCTGGGTCAGCCTTGTCTCATGAACACGTGTCCACACACTCACACCACACTCTCCAAATGTTCTTGGGTCAGAGTGCACGGAATCAAACACTTGATGAGGTGCAGCCTGTCTTTATAGCTCCAGCTGGAGTGGCGCTCAGGACTCTCGTGTAACTGCTGCTAAGAGGCGGGCGATAATGGGAACGTGGCAGCTTTTCTGAACCTGCATGCGCGTTATTCCATGTGCATCATCAGCGTCCTTGAGGACACAGAGCAGCTCTGACACACTTGAAAAGTGCAGAAGAGCCCTGAGCTTTTCCTAGCTCTTGGGAAAGCCTTTCCTGCTCTGCTTCCCTTCCCCTTGCTGTCTTTCTTTTGGTTCCTCCCGCCTCTAAAAGCTTTCTGACTTCAGGCAGCACAGTTGCACGTCTATTTTCTGCAGATGTTTGAGATTATTTGGAACAGCAGGCATCGAAACTGATCATGGAACACCCTTTGCAGCCCCCACAGTGATGGGCTGGAGCTGCACTACAGGGCTCCTTGACCCTCAGCTGTCCAGAAGTGCCCCTGCCCCAGGCCCCTGGCCACACCCTGCAGGGCCCTGCCTCAGCCCAGGCCTCACCGTGATTGAGTTTGGCATCTTGGAAATACTGCATCTTTAAAAGAGCCTTAAGTACATCTGTTCTCAATTTTCAGACCACGAGGTGAGGATTTGGGTGCAAGTAGTTTATCTGGGATGAGATCCCAGGAAGCACTGTGAGGGGGCAGGAAAGTGGGAGCAGAGGTCGGGGAGGAGAGTCAGAAGGTGCACTGGTGGGCAGGTGGCCACGCGGGCATCGGGCCTTCCCACCTGCAAGGGGGACTGGGAGTATCCAGTTCTCACCCCTTGTGGCCCGAGTCACCCCCAGGAGGCAGGCTTGGAGAGCACTGGCTGCTGCCTGCCCGGGCCCTGCAGGAGAGACTGGAGCAGAGGCAGGACACTGGCCACGGAGGCTTCAGTTATTCCGAGAAGTTGGCTCACCCTCAGCGCTTTGCCTTGTGACTGCAAATGGGAGCTCTGTGTTTAAATGCCTGCTTGTAGTGGAGTCAGTTGAATCGTGTGTTTGTGCACATTAGGAGATTCTGTAGACAAAGTGCCCCAAGAAATGACACACGGCTCAGCTGAACAGAGAAACAGGTGACACAGGAAGAACTGAAATCACACTTCACCCTTGAGGACCGAGCTCCCCTGGGCCCTTGCCTGTTGGACGCGGGGGTGAAGCGCTCCGCCTGTGTGCTCTGTGTGACCAGTGTCACACCTGCCCGCAGTAATCAGAAGCTGCTTGTTTGGTCGTGGCTCGTGGCTCGTGGCTCCCGGCCTGCATCCTGCATCTGCCCCCTTTTAGGCCCTGGGAAGCTAAGCTGCTAAACAGAGTCCCTGGGAGATAAGCCCTCCCAGGAGTGATTGCCCTGAATTTTTTTGCATAAAATGAGTCTGTTGAAATGATATAAAACCCCCTTGTTTTTTGGGTTTTTTTTTTTTTTGACATCCATTCATGAGCACCCTTCCTCATGACCTAAATCCCAAATTCAGCGTGGTCCCGGGGCCGCGCCCTCTGGCCTCCACTGTGGCCAGCATGTCTCCCCACACTCACCTGCCCCCCTTGCCTGCAGCATCTCATGTGTGCCGGACTGTGGTGCCTGGTGGAAGGAGACACGTCCTGCAAGACCAAGCTGGACCCACCCCTGGATGGCACGGAGTGTGGTGCAGACAAGGTACGCTCAGCCACCACGTTTGCTGGGCGGCAGCCGCTTCTCCAGAAAGGCCACCCGCACTGTCCTCAGGAACCTGGAGCTGCCCCCAGCCGGTCCCACAGATGCCCCCAGGGCCCTCCCCAGGCACTCCGGGGAGCATTGCATTGGCATTAAGGGGTTGGCAGCCTCTTGGGGCTCTTGTTAGCCATGTGGACTCTTTCACCGGGAAATTTAGAAACCCCCCCCCCCGTGAAGCACCCCGGGGGGTGGGGAGGGGGCGGGAGGTTGAGGCCAAGGCAAAGTCAAAGCCCAGGGGGTGCCGCAGGCGTCAGGTCAGCAACTGGGCGCTGCTCCTGGAGTTAGCAAGCTCGCGCCCACGTTGCCGATGGCAGGGAATCCTTTGGTGCTGTGGTGTTTTTCTCGGGTGGCTGAGCGGTTGGCTTCCTCCCACCGTGCCCTGACCTCTCCCCTGCCTGGCATTGCAGTGGTGCCGCACCGGGGAGTGTGTCAGCAAGACGCCCCTTCCGGAGCACGTAGACGGAGACTGGAGCCCGTGGGGTGCCTGGAGCATGTGCAGCCGGACCTGCGGGACTGGGGCCCGCTTCCGGCAGAGGAAATGCGACAACCCCCCGTAAGTCACCTCCACCTGGCATTTCCCAGGCCCCATATTGGGGCTCCACCCTGCAGCTCTCACTGCCTGGCCAAAGCACGGGCTGTCTCCCGCTGAGAACTTGAGCCAGGGGACATGAACTTGGACCAAGGGCCTGGGCTGCCAGAGCTTTGCGGGTGCCTGGCGGCAGCTCAGCCCCAGCCAGCCCCCGCTGGGAAGGCAGTGGTCTGGCCTGCGGAGGCGTGGCTCCTCTCCCTGGCCTGGGCGTGGCAGGGAGGTTTCCCAAGGACAGCCGGACACTCCCTCCTGGCTGCTTCCCCCACTTACTTAACTGAGGTCATCCCAGGGAAGCCTGCGAGCCTTCAGGAGAGAGGCTGACCTGCTTCGGGAACCGCCTGCCTGTTGAGTCACAGAGCATCTGTGGGTTTGGCTGTCCAGATACATTTCACCTGTCCTCTTCAAAGGACAGACGTCTGACAGCAAGTCTTTTTTTTTTGGTGTTTGTTTTGTTTTTTCCCTTCCAGCTTCCTTTTCCCGACACTGATGAGCCCTGGCCCCTCGCACGTTGGCTCACGCAGACTCAGGGCTGTATTTTGGGCTCAATTATCGTTCACCTCAGGTGGTTTTCTTCTCTCGGAATTTCCCATTTTTAATATTTCTTTTAGTGATCTGTCTTGTTTTCTGGCAGCTGCATCACACTGATTCTGAAAACGAGCAGGTTATCGATTCTGACTACAAAGGGGTGGTTTTAAGTCCATAGTGATGAACCATCTTGAGGTCCTGGCTCTAGCACAGGCTCTGTGGGTGGGAGATGGGAGTTGCTCTTTGACTCTCTCCAGGGGATTCCAGAGGTCATCAGCAAGGCTGAAGCCTCTGGGGTCCAGGAAAGCTCACCCTCAGGGTTTAGTCAATGCTGAAAGGATTAGCATTGTGTACCGTCTTATTAAATGTCCCTGCAGAGCCTCTGACACATAGTAGGTGAACATGTCGTATTTTAGGGGAGACTTAATGAAATGCAAGGCAGTACATTCGGATTCCCCAGAGAAACAAGCTGCAAAACACATCTAGATGCAGCTGGTGCTCACTGTGATGGTGACTGTTCTGGGAACTCCTCAATGATGTCCAGCAAAAGCACATCCTAGAATAATGTGGTTTCGTTCATTGTCAGCTGGGATTGCTTTTACCCATCAAAGTTGCAACATAGTAGTGTAAGAAGTGGCATTATCCTAGGACCCATTGTGTGGCCTATAGATATGTGGATTTTTACGTTGAGGGTTTGGCTGACATGATGCGAAAACTGAGAAGCTCCCCGGTCCACCATTCGCAAACAGACCTAGGAAGCCAGTGGTCTCATTCAGCCCTGGACTGAAGGCCTGAGAGCCAGTGTCAACACTGGTATCAATCCTAGTCCCAGGTCAAAAGATGTGAGATGTCCTGGCGAGGAGGACTGAGACAGTGAGGCCAGAGAGAAAAGGCGAATGCCTCCTTCCTCTGTGGTTCTATCCAGGGCTCCAGTGGCTTGGAGGATGCCCGGCAGGATGGGGGCAGCTCTCCATGCTGATCTCCAGAAACACCCTTGCAGATGCACCCAGATAGAATGTTTAACCTGGACTCCCTGTGGGCGCCGGTAACACCTGGCATTTGCCATTACAGATGGGTAGATGATTCGCAAGCGTTTGTAACTAAATGCTGAGACAAGAACAGAGATCGTTTTCCCTTCCAGCGTGCCGACTGCCTGGGAGCCTCCTTGCAATCCCAGTGACCCTCAACATGCACCTAATATCATTGTCCCCCCCCCAAAATTAGCATATTTTATATCAAGAAGGGGGGTCACCAGTAGGTCCCTGCCCTTGTTTCATTTCATCTTGCTGAGGCCTCAAAGCTATGACAGGCCTGGAGGTGGGGTCCAGGCTCCCCTGTGCCTGAGGGCCATCTTCACTCAAGCCCACCCTGCACCAGAGAGGTCCTAGCTCATTGCTAGCGCACTTCACAGCAGCGCGCTCCAAAATATCACCCCACTTGATTTATCCCAAGTGAGAGAAACCATATTTTTGCCCCCGCGATATTGCCTGTTTGGTAGCCTGTCCAGTCTTTCGCAATAACAGCGTGATCCTGACTCCTGTTCTGAAAAGAAGCCACATGCTCTTCTTCCCAAGTAGGTCTCTACCGGGTCCCCCGCCTCCCCAGAGCTGCCTCCCGTGTCTGGGAAGGGCAGGCTGGGCAGACGGTGGGCAGGTGGGTGGCAGCCGGTGCTGCCGCTGACTCGGGATGCAGACAGGGCTTCAGAAGTACAGGGTCAGCCCGCTTTTGCAAATGGGCCAATGCAGTGATTGTAACAAAGCACAGCTGATCAGGGCCCTGGAGCCAAGTTCTGACCAAAACAACGTCCTGTCCCAGGCTCACTTCTTAAATCACCAGGCTCGCTGCCTCGAGATTTCACAAGGAAGGCCAAATCCCACTGCTTGTACATCTCAGACTTGGAAGGCTCCCACAGCCCTCGCCCCACCCCCTTCACTTTATATTCCCAGCTCCTTTGCTGTCCTCTGCAGCTGGTATATTCACTGTCCAAAAACACTGGCCAAGAGTCACCCCACCCCACCCCCTTTATTTTTTCTAGTCTTGGTCTTTGCTGCTATTGGCAGCCTTATTACTTGCCAGCTGACTTCAAGACCATGGGGACCATGTCTTTTTTTTTTTTTTTTAGATTTATTTAGTTCTGCATACAGAACTGAGGTACAGGCCAGAGGTACAGGGGCAGTGAGAGGATTCACCAGAGATAGAATGGGGAGCAGAACAGGGCAGATCGACAAAGAACACTGCTGAGGGGAGCAGCAGGGAGACAGGAGAGATCTGCAGCACCCTGTGGGTCGGCTCCCTGGCCGGGGATAGAACTCGTGCTGCAGTGGCTGTGAGAGCTTCATAGTGCTGTGCTTTAACCCATTGCACCACCAGGGAGGCCCAGACCATATATTTTTCGTTACTAGGAGGTTCAATGCGCTATCCAGGCCACCTGACCATGTATTTTTTTTTTTTTTAAAGATTTATTTATTTATTTGTGCATACAGAGCTGGGGTACAGGCCAGAGACTCAGGGGCGGTGAGAGGCTTCACCAGAGACAGAGTGGGGAGCAGAACAGGCAGATCTACGAAGTACACTGCTGAGGGAAGCAGCGGGCAGGCCAGGAGAGGTCTGGCTCGCCATGTGGTCTCCTCCGGGGCAGGCGGCAGGCGGGAATCGAACTCATGCGGAAGTGGCTTCAGATTCTCAGTGCTGTGCTTTAACCCGCTGCGCCACCAGGGAGGGCCCTGACCATGTATTTTTAAGCCATCTTTGTAGCCTGGTCTTTTCCTTCCATCATCAACGTCACTGTCGGTAGCTGTTCCTACCCCGGCACTGCCAGGGCACTTCAATACACAGTCAACATCGGATACCAGTGTGAATTCCATCCATCAATGAAATAATTCAAAATCAGGTACCCCATCAGAAGGGTGGCATTGGGGGGCAGGGAGTTGTGGGAAGAAGAGGCCCAGCTGCTCTTGTGTGAAAAGGCTGCTATCTTGCAGCCAAAGCAGGTGGGTAGGAGATTGGCGCTCGAGAAGGAGCATGCAGTGCAGAACCGGAACTGCTTCAGGGCCCCATGAGCACCGAGAGGCCAGCAGCGTGATCCCCAGGACCCTGCAGGCCAGGGGAGTTGCATTCTGTGCTGTGGTTGTGTTTGGCGCCAGAGTGAAGCCCCAGTGGTGTGCAGTGACCCGCTGTGCATTTGTGTGGTTCTCTTCCACCCAGTCTTCTGCCCAGAAGCGAAAGCTGCCTATGTTCTGGGAGCCTTTCAGAGGAGGCCTTATATTAAGGCGTCTGCCTGGGAAGGGGTGGTGCAGCTTCGTGTCTCTGCTGAGGCGCCCCACAGTGCCCGCTCACCCTTGGAACCGTCTGGGGCCGGCGGAGAACCCCCACTCCGCCGAGCAACGTGTCGGGGTAGGAAGCAGACCTGAAGCGCTGTGGTGGCCAGCAACCTCCTCATGGACGGGAGACAAGAAAAACAAGACCAGTGGCACTCGGCTGGCATCTTGCTCTTCTACCCACCGCGTCCTGTTCCCTCTGCTCGCAAGGACGGATGGGGTGGGCTCACGTCAGCAGGCTGTTGCCCTCCCGGGTCTGCATTGGGGTCTGCCCCTGCTACCTTGAGACCCCAACCCTAGGGGACCCCCCCCCATAGCACCTGAGAGGAAGATCTGTGGTGACACTACTTTTTCTCTGCACTTCCAGTTTCTCATGAAAGCCTCTCTGCTTTATCTTTTCCTCGTTTTAAAACTCTTCAATAAGGTATAACAGGTGGGCGACGTACCTGCGCGGGTGAAGCCCTAGCACAGTGCCACTGGAGGAGCGCAGCACAAGCAGTGGGGGGCGTGGCCCCCGGGGGTGGCCGGCTGCTGCCCCGCACACGCTCCTGCGGCCGGCTGGGCCCCGGCCAGCTTTGCTGAGTGGCCTGCCATCTGGCGAGCCCCCACCTGCTCTCCGCCTCACCACGCTCCATCACCCGCCTTCCCACGCGGGCCTTGGTGGGTATGAGGCAGTATCTCGCTGAGGTTCGCATTTGCAGTGGTCAGAAGCAACGAGGCATTTCTTGTGAGGTGCATTGACGTTCCCTGCTCGAGACTATGGGGAGCAGGAGGAAGACAGGAGCCCAGCCCTGCACAGTTGTTCTAGAGGAGACTCGAGCAAAGGCAGCAGAGGCTCCAGGAAGGAAAGAAAAATAGGCTGCCAGGTGGAGGTGGCCCCAAGATGAGCAGGGAGGTGGGGCGGGGTGGGGGCGATGGCGTGATGCCAGGTGGGAGGCTGGTCGGCATGGGGACAAGGCCGACGGGGAGGAGAAGCAGGACAGAAGAGTTCATGCGGGAAGCGCCGAGGCCCAGGCCCGTCCGTGAGCCGCCCCTCAGGCTGGGTTAGCCTGGGTTACACCTGCTGCCACCAGGTGTAAAGATAGTTGGTGGATAGGCCCTCCCTGGTGGCGCAGCGGGTTAAAGCACAGCACTGAGAATCTAAAGCCGCTTCCGCATGAGTTCGATTCCCCGCCTGCCCCGGAGGTGACCACATGGCGCGGCAGACCTCTCCTGACCCGCCCGCTGCTCCCCTCAGCAGTGTACTTCGTCGATCTGCCTGTTCTGTTCCCCACTCTGTCTCTGGTGAAGCCTCTCACCGCCCCTGAGCCTCTGGCCTGTACCCCAGTTCTGTATGCACAAATAAATAAATCTTTAAAAAAAAAAAAAAAAAAAAAGATAGTTGGTGGATGAGGACCCATCAGATCAAACTTGAAAAGAAATGTGTTGATGGACATGGATGCCACAGACTTTGCAACAACGCGGGACCCCCAGGAAGTTACCTCCCAGACCGGTGCCAATCTGTCCACACCTGTGACTGTGCGGAAGTAGTTTTTTTATATTTCTAGAACGCAACCTAGTCTATATTTTTGAATTTCGCTTGAGTCCTGTGTGGGGTTCCTAATCACTTTGAATTTTGCCCGACTCACCTGCATCTGCCTCCGAGCCTAGTGAGGGTGTGGCAGGTCCTCGTGACACCTCGTCCCCGAACCCATGGGCAGCCGTGAATGTCCACACCCGAGTGCTGCTAACAACAGAAATGTATCTCCTTCCAGTGCTGGAGCCAGAAATCAAAAGTCAGGTGTTGAAAGGTTCCCTTCTGCCGGCTGTAAGGACACCTGTCCGCTAACTTCTGGTGGTTTCCTGGCCACCCTTGACATCTTACAGTGTAGAGGGTCACCCTGGCTCTGTCTTCATCACACATAGTGTCCCCCTGTGTGTGTCTCCAGATTTCCCATTTTCATAACAGTCCCAGTGGTCTCAGACCAGGAGTTCACCCTACGCCAGCACCATCTCATCTTAACTGACGACAGCTTCAACAGCGCTGTTTCCAAACGCACCCCCCTGCAAGGTAGTGTGGGCAAGGACTTTGACATAGGAATTTGGGACGGACACATTCAGCCCGGGACGCATTCAGCTCACGCTACAGCATCTACCACCCTTCCCTGGTTCTAGCCATGCACGCGGATGCAGCAGTCGGCAGGGCCGTCCCTCCCGGTCCACAGGGCCGTCCCTCCCGGTCCACAGGGCCACCAGCCTCTACATGACATAGGACACATCTGCCTCCTCCCAGGCCCAGCACCCAGGGGAGGTTGTCTGAGACGCTTACTGAACATGCCGTGCGTATCACTTGTCTGAGCCCCACGGCCCCCTACTGCTCTGGGCAAGGAAAAGAGCACACAGTCCCTCTGTGTTCACGTCCATAAGCCTTGGAGAAGTTTGGCTCTTCCACACTTGGAGATGGGAACTCGCGGCTCCTCCCAAGGCCAGTTGTTTGGGGCATGTGGACACAGAGCAGGACCCTTACCTTCTCCTCTGGGTGCATTTTGGAGGACCAGGAGTTGACAGAGGGACCGAGGACCAGATCCGGCCATACCTGGTTTTGTGCATAGCTCCGCTGGCTGGTGCACAGCCATACGCCCTCTGTTTGCACATTGTCTGGGCCACTTTTGGGCTGCAATGGAAGAGGTGAGCAGTTGCCACAGACTGTATGGCCCACAGGCCAGAAACGCTCTCCATCTGGCGCTTTGTAGACAGCTTCCCGGGTAGCCGCCTGCACACCCGCTGCCTCTGCCGGCCTGGCTCTCCCTTGAGATGGTGACCTCAGGACGGCCTCATTGCGCGAACGCGGTAAGCAGCCAGGTGAAACGTTGACTTCAACCAAACGTCGGCCTGTGGTAGCGCGCGTAGTCTGTGAAGAGTCATCGGGCCGTCCAAACAGTTGTGGTCTCTGCTATTTGCTCGTGTCTGCCTAATTTCAGTGAAAAGGGCAAGGGGCTGAGGCAGGGCAACCCAATGTGAACTGGGTGCCTGTCTGTGGGTCCTCACCTGTGCACTTAAGATTCAGTTATAATGCAGGCACACACAAAAAGGGTCAATAATGGGTTTATTTACAAAGGGGAAAGAAAAGGAACAACCCAGGGAAGGAAAGAGAGAAAATACAAGTTAACTAGAGCGTCCTGCCAGGTCCGCTAACTTGGAACTCCAACAGCACACTGAATGCTCATCCAGCTAAGCGACCAGCCACCAGCCGCAGGCCACCGGAGACAGAGGGAGAGAGCCTGCTCAATATGGTTCCTCTATATTTCCCCAAAAGTCCCAAAATGGTTACTTAGCTCCACCTTGGATCCTCACATTTCTCCTTTAGTATTGCTGGGAGTTGAGTTTCAGTGACTGGAGTAGGGTGGAATTGTAGTTTCAATAACTGGAGGAGGGGATGGAGTCCACAAAACCTGTGTCTGCAGAGTTCCTTCAGGACATCCTTTCCCCCCAACAGGGCCAGTCTGACTCCCTTGTATAATCGTGGCATCACGCAGGCCAGGGAGGCATCAAGGTGGCCCCCGTCTGAGTGCTGTGAGGTTTGTGAAATAGCTGGGCAGAGCCCTCCCTGGCCCTCCTGGGCATGGGCTTGGCCAGAGAACACAGCCAGGGCCACAGAACTGCTGAGGGCTCAGCCTCAGCACAGAGGGCCCAGGACCCATGGCCTCGGCGCTGGCCATACTCGGTCCACGGAGGTACCAGATCTGGACCAAGTGGACAGATCACTCTGATTCTTTTTATTAGCAAATCAGTGAGAACTGGTGACTTTCTCATCCTAAAACTTAACCACCTCCAGAGTGTACCTGGGAATAATTTATAGGTTCTTCATTTTATAGAAGGATGCCCTTCCCCCACCAAAAACCTCACACACACCAAATATTCCCCATGGGGTTTCAGTGTTACAGATGGCCACGTTTTAAGTTCTGATGACAGACACCATTTGTGGACCTTGCTGAACTAATACTCACTGTATTCTATTTCCAGATGACCTTGATTTATAGCTCTTGGAGAGGTTTTTTCTGATGGCTCACTTAAACATGCCGTCAGCGTGGGTCTGGGATTGCTGTGTTATGGTCTGTGGGAGCTGGATGGGGGTAACTTTGGAAACCTTGCCTACCCCCTTACCTCCCCCTCCCTGCAACAGCGCTGAACAGAGAAGACCCCCGCTCTTCCTACAGCGCTGGCTGGTTGATGCAGACTGTCCCATTCTTTCAGGCCGGGGCCTGGAGGCACACACTGCCCGGGGGCCAGCGTGGAGCATGCTGTCTGCGAGAACCTGCCCTGCCCCAAGGGCCTGCCCAGCTTCCGGGACCAGCAGTGCCAGACACACGACAGGCTGAGCAGCAAGAAGAAGGGCCTGCTGACCGCAGTGGTGGTCGACGGTAAGGCACACGGCGCATCCCTCCACAGTGGCGCCCACCTCCTGCCCCTACAACATACAGACGCCCTAGGAGAAGCCCCAGAGCACCCCTCCCGCCCCCACAGTCCTCCCAGAGGACGCCCAGTGGTCCCTGCCCAAGTCAGCCACTGACCTACTTTTCGAGTGGCAGGGCTGAACTTGGGTGACCCAGCTCGCTGAGATTTCCCAAGAGCAGCTGTGAGGCAGCCCGCTGACCAGACTCCTCCGCAGGCGTGTGGCTGGCAGCCCGCCACTGGTGCCATGTCCTGAGGCCAGGCCGGCGTCCAGGAGCGCTGGTCCTGGAGTGTCCTCCAGGAGTGTCCGCCGCTTCCCTCTCCGCTGTCCGTGAGTCCTGCAGTTACTGGTGTTGGTGCATTTTGGGTTGGCTCTTAGCCCTGGACTGGACTGCGTGGAAATAAACTATGTGGGCTGCTTACAGCTTGAGAAAGATGATACCAAGTACAGGTCACACTTTCTCCATGAGAGCTTTCTCCCAGCTGAGGGACTCCACCCCAGGAGTCGTTGCAAGCCTCTGCCGAGCCTGGCCGGCCGTCGGTGGTGTGTGAGCTCGCTTAGGCTTTGTGGTGTTTCTCCTGGATGAGGCCTCGTGAGGGGTTTTCATACCGAGAGTTCTGCTCATCTTCGGAAAACAAGACGCTGTGATGATGACAACATGGTCCCATTTATTGAGCCTCGTACGCGCCAGGTGCAGGTTAGCCCACAGACAACGTCTCATTGAATCTGAGACTCAAGATGAGAGGCTTACGTTCCCAGAGGTCTCGGAGCTCCTGCAGCTGAAGCAGGGAGGGAGCCGACCCCACTTCCGGAGCAGCTGACTCAGAGAATAGGCAGCCTTCATCTGGCTTCCAGCGCTCGAAGAAGACAGAACAGGTGACTTCATGAGCGGGGAGTGAAGGAACTTTAATAAGAACCGCAGCAGCTGGGCCTGACGTGTGCCGAGTCCTGACAGCCGGACCACGCACATGACGTGAGAAACTCTGAAGCCTGCGGCTGTCATCTGCCGCAACAAGCTTAATGCGGTGGGAGACGGGTAACGCGGCCTGGGGTGCTCCGGATCACGGCAGATGACACCAGCCCATTCAGACGTGGGCTCAGCGTGTAGCCAGAGCTCCCCACTTCGCTTGTGTAAAATGAACACCCCTGCAGGGAGCTGTGTGACAGCAGCCACGCTGGCACCTCACCTGCAGGCCTCGGGAGACGGGAGCCTGCACCTCGCTCTGTCTACAGAGGGGAGATTACACCCTCTGACTGAGGAAGGAGAACCCAAGTCCTCCTGGACTGAGTCTCAGCAACACCTCAGTGGGACATTCGGGCCCATCCCCTGGGGCCCCCGCGGCCCCCAACCATGGGTGATGTGCAGATGCTGGGGCTGTTGTGGAAAATTCCAGGTGGAGCCTCACCCCAGGACCTCCTTGAGCTTCCAAAGGGACAAGCGTGACCAGAGCAGGGGCTCCCCTGGCCTGGCTCGCCTGACTTGGGACAGCCGTCCCAGGCAGCTGGGCACCCTGTGAGGAGGGAGACGCCCCTCAGGCCCTGGTGTTTCCAGCAAGCGGCCAGTGCTGATAAGGGGGCTTTGCTTGCCAACCCCGCCTGTCCCCAGACTACAGGAAAGCCGCATGAGGTCCTCTGTGGCATTCTGCTCCAGAGCAAGAAGCCAGAGCTCGTGTTCTGCAGGTCGGACCTGACAGACTCGTCCGTTCTCGCCTCTGCTCAGCTATTTTCCTGCAGCTGTTCTTTCCTCCGTGACTCGCTTCGTTTTTCAATTCTCCCGCCCTCTTGTTCAGTGCAGAAGTCCCCCGTACACGCCTGTTTTTCCACAGGTTTCTCTGAGTGCAGATTCCACTTCTGTTTCACGCCTAACCACATTGGGGTGGCTGAGCCCTGAGCTTCGCTAGCTACACGGCCGCCTCTGACGGCTTCCGCGGTGCCCTCCGGGAAGCTGCTCGGTGAAGCCATTCAGGGAGCTCGCTAGGGCTCAGAAGGCGTTTTCACCCACTTGAGTTTTACTCCTTTCTGCCAAAGCAATAAATACTAACAGCCAGCGTGCCAGCGCCTCTGAGGGGAAAGGGCGGCCCCGGCAGCGAGCATTCTGCCTTTGAAGGGAAGACCCCAGGTTCAGGGCTTTGCAAGGGCAGCCCGGCTTGTTCCTTCTGGGGTGTAATGGTCACGGTCACGACGTCATGCATATTTGGTTTCATTTCCCTCTCAAATCTAAACAAAAGCCAGCATTTTTTAAAAGGACTTTCACGAGGGTGTAAACAAAATAATAAATGGCCAGTTCAGAGGGCGGGGGAGAGTACAGATTCTAAGAGTTCCTCTCAGAAGTGGTTTATAAAAGGCACGATTCTAGCTGAGCCGTGATAGGGGCAATGCCTGCGGTCGGTACTTCTGAAGCCCAATGACTGCCTCATTCAGAGCCTTGTTATCGCTGCAGAATTCTTTGGCGAGTTACGCTCAGTTCAAGAAAGGGAAGCTATGTTTTTTCTCTTCTTGAAAAAAAAAATCTTGCAGAGGTAGATTTCCCAAGGGAGGCCTTCAGGACCACAAACCCATCCCACCGCCAAAAGAAGACAAAGACTCTCCTTAGAAAATATTTCTAAGTGGAAAAGCCTGAGACAGAAGCCCATGGAGATGGCACATTTCCAAACCCACCCCCTCCGCTGCTCTCTCCTGGCATCTCACTTAAGTGGAAATCAAGAGTTCAGTCCTCTCTCTTCGGGCCAGCAGGCCCTGTGCCCACTGAGGTGTCAGAGGGCTTGGCAAAGGTCATGTCTGACATGCCTTTCTAGCTCCTTTCTCCCAGCAGGCAGAACCCACTCCTGGTCCGAGCCTCCAGAGGGGATGGTTAGGGCTCCCGGACCCCACCTTGGCCAAGCCGGGACGTGGTTGCAAAGATGCTGGTGCCCTGTGTTCCAAGGGGCAGGTGAGAGCCAGGCGTGGGCATGCAGGGGTCCAGGCCCCTGGAGATGCCAGGACTTTCTCTCCATCCACTCCTATGTCTGCAGCTCATCTCTTCCCACCCCCACCACAGAGAGGCTGTCTGACAACGTGCAAGCTGCTAGCCGGCCATAACGCCCTTCATGTCGGTCTCGTCCCTTATCCAAATCCTTTGGGGCCAGATGCGATTCACAAGCGAGAGGCCTTTAGGTGTGAGGCAGTAACCGTGCACCAACCATATCCTACATAAGCCCCCACTGGGATCCGAGAAGCACCCGCGTCAGACGCACGAAGACCCCTACCAGGAAACCCATGACTCACCTCTCGGGGGGCACTGAGCACAGTCACAGCCTCGTGTCAGCCACCCCTAGTTCTGCTGCCAAGTGTGTTTGCCACAAATGTCGGAAAGCGCCTGCCCTCCTCAGAGCTTTTTGGATTTCGGAATTGACAGGAAGGGAGGGTAGACTTCTTTGAGCTCTACCAGCCATGAGAGCTACCTCTGTGTGACTGACCGGCATGCAAGTTTCCAAGCAGAAAGACTTCCTGGCACCCGTGGTCACGTGTCACTGCTGGCCCTGTGACAGCAGGGTGCGTCAAAGTCTGGTTGGTCCAGCTACAGCCCAGTGTCCACTGTTGGCCCATGACTGTAGAGTCATGCTGGCCATCCTCAGGGACAGAGGGCTGACCAGCCTCCTCGGCATGCGTCCCTAGCTGACCTCCTCAGCTGGTCCCCCCGGGGCCCAGCTAGGGCTTGGGTGTGTACCCAAATCTAAATGGGTCTCCAACCTTCATGTAGCTGCGGCAGAGTGAGAGGCCTGAGGAGCCGCAAGTGTGACCTTCAAGGTGGAGGGCTGGGAGCATCACCGAGCCAGTATGGCCCTGTGCTCTTGACCCCCTGGCCTGTCCCCCAGCATGTCTGCGGCTTCCCCTCCAAGCCTAATCCCAGCAGCAGGTGGGTCAGTGAGGATCAGGGACAGTCGAGCCTCAGTCAGGATTCCATCCAGCAAGACATCAGCCACACCCGGGGATGCTCCAGGCTTCTGTCCCTGCGGGGTGTGGCCGCGTAACTTTCCCTGACCTCTGTACCATTAAGGTGAAGGAGTATGGACGCCGTCCAAAGGAGAGGCCCAGGAACTGAGGTCACTTACTGTGGCCTTTTATCAGGGAGATTAATTGCCCACGCGGGTCTTCCTAAAGGAGTCTCTGCCTCCATGCTTCTTCCCAGCTCTAAATTTCGTGCCTTCCCACCGAATTCTTTTGTGGCCATGGACAAACTGATTCTAGAGTCTGTAGAGAAAGGCCCAGAAACTACCAAGTTCTCCTGTGAGCCAGCCACGCCATCCCGCATCCTCTGAGAGCCCCCAGTCCTGTCCGTTCTCCAGTCTGAAGATAACTGAGTTGGGTCCTTCCAGAGTCCTTTAGCCTTGGGGCCTGTGAGAAACCGCCTGTCAGTGGCCGTGGCTCAGACAGTTCTGGGATGACAGGGTGGTGCCGAGGCCCAAATGCGGGTCTCGTGGTGCAGAGACTCCACGTCAGAGGACTCCGGGCAGAGCGGCACCTACTGAGGTGATGAGAATGTTCCAGAACATTGGTGACAGGCAGGGGTCTTCAGCCAGAAAGGACAGCTTAGGTGAGGGAAGTTGCAGGTTCTGGGCACTCAGCTGCCTGCAGAAACAGCAGGAATCGGGGTTCCCCCCGTGACTTGGCCCGTCAACACCGCACGGCTCCTCGTTCCCTTTCTGAGCTTCGCCCAGCCCCTCACCCACTGCCACCAGGCCTGTAGCTCTTGCCCGCAGCGCCAGAGCCCTGTGCTGGCAAAGCCTCTTCGTGGGGGCACCTGTGGGGCCCACACCCCTGCCCATAACACCCTCCCCGCCCGCTCCCCACTGCAGGAGCAGCCTCCACACTGCCCGGCCCACTTTCCACTTCCTGAGGCTGCGGGCTCTGCCTGGTGTCTTCAGCGCCTTCAGAAAAGCAAAGATAGAGACCGAGCTGCGAGAGAGCCACAGAGGCCCCCCCGCCCCCGTGGGCCACCCCCGTGTGCTGGGGAGTGTTCCAAGGTGGGGGTGTGCATCTCTGAGGCACCCGTGCCGGGCTCGCCCCTGCACACGCCCCTGCGCCCCACAGGCCCACACGCTGACGCTCGCCTTCCCTCCTCAGAGAAGCCGTGTGAACTGTACTGCTCGCCGCTGGGGAAGGAGTCGCCGCTGCTGGTGGCCGACAGGGTCCTGGACGGCACACCCTGTGGGCCCTATGAGACTGACCTCTGCGTGCACGGCAGGTGCCAGGTGATTGCTTCCCTGGGTCCAACCCCACAGTGGCTGAGGTGGGGTGGCGGCCTCAGGGCTGGGGAGGTGGGTGTCCTTACGGAGGCTCCAATCCCGCAGCCTCGTCCAGTGGCTGAACATGTCTAGTGGCTGAGTGTGAAGAGGCCTCCAGTGGCTGAGCGCCAAGGGGTGTCCAGTGGCTGAGCATGAAGGGGAGTGTCCAGTGGCTGAATGTGACGGGGTGCTCAGTGCCTGAATGTGAAGGGGGTCTCCAGTGGCTGAATGTGACGGGGTGCCCAGTGGCTGAACGTGAAGGGGGTGTCCAGTGGCTGAGCGCCAAGGGGTGTCCAGTGGCTGAGCAAGAAGGGGAGCGTCCAGTGGCTGAATGTGACGGGGTGCTCAGTAGCTGAACGTGAAGGAGGTTGTCCAGTGGCTGAGCATGAAGGGGGTGTCCAGTGGCTGAGCGTGAAGGGGGTGTCCAGTGCCTGAACATGACGGAGCCTCCAGTGTCTGAGCGTGACAGGGCATCCAGTGGCTGAGCATGAAGGGAGGTGTCCAGTGGCCGAGCCACCTGCAGCCCACTGGGAGCTGTGGCTGAAATAGGAGCAACATCACAGTCAAAGCCGTGGCTGACCTCACGACAAGGAGACGAGAGGCAGGGGCCTGGGTGTGGGAGCCCGCCCTGGAGGCACTGCTGGCTTCAGGCAGGCTTCCTGGTTGACCTAAGCAGGTGTAAGAGGGCTGATGGGAGGGGAAGTCCTGGGGGGCAAAATAGGCATGGTTTGGGGGTCCGCTGCACCCCATGGAATGGGTCCCTAAACAACCCGATGTTGGATGTCTGTGCCATTAGGACAGTGGTAAATTTCACTTCAGAAACCAGGAGGGGGAGGTAAAGTGGACAGGGGGCCAGTGTGGGGTGACGGGGGTGACATCATGTTTACAGGTGCCGATGTTCCAGGTCTGTACACCTGAAACCTACTTAACGTTAGAAACCAGAGGATAAGAGGACAAAAAGAAAGGAGGGAGGGAGAGAGGAATCTCACCCATCCCTCTGCTGAGTCTATAAGCGGGAGACACCTGTAGCTGGGCCCTCCCAAGCCAGTGCCCGTTGCCCATCTGAACGGGCCTCCTCCTGGTCCAGGCAGCCGCTGCGGGGGCGGAGGGGCTGCCCAGAGACCCCAGAGGGCGTGACTGGTGATGCCCCCCTCAATGATGCCATGTGGGCTGTAGCCGTGGCCCAGTTCTGTGTGCACCTGTTGTGCGGGGCCATGGGGACACCCCAGCCACCAGCCCCGTGCCCGCGTCTGGGCAGTGCGTCCACCCAGCATTGACTGCCGCTGCCGGGGGAGCATCAGGCTCGCGTTTAAGTGGCTTCAGGAGGAAAACGGGCCTCTACTCCCAATTTTCGCATTTCCTCGTTTGACCTCCCCGGTGACACCGATGGGGACTAAGCAAAGATGTCCCCTTGCCATGAGCCACTGAGGGGACTTCTGGCTTCACTGGAAGAGAGACTGGGGGCTAGAGCTGTGGCTAAGACCAGCATCTTCTCGATGCTCGGTTCTGGGAAGTGCCCACAACATTGGAAAAATACAAATCCCAAGGGTCTGGTGATGGCACCAGGAACCTGCCGCCAAGCCTTGAGCCACTCACCCAGGAGGGGGACACACCTGAGCCTGGCCCGGGCAGCCACCATCAAGGGCAAAAGAAAGACACAAACAGAAGCAGCCTCCAGGAGCCCCGGCAGCCAACCCTTTTAACCCTTTTAACTCAATTTTTTCCCTGCAAAGTCTCAGTCAATCCCCACACTTTTCAGGGAGCAGCTGGACAATTTCTGGGCTCCTTTGGCCCTTCCTGACATTGTTACCAAGTACAGATCCATGGGTCTCGGCAAGGCATTCTCCCAGGAAGGAGGCGGTGGTGAGTGGTTAAGTTGGACCCTCAGGGCTGCCATGCCGTAGCAAAGAATGTCCAGGTAGAGAACTGCCCAGGAAGTATGGACAAAGGACTGATGGTTAATACTGAAAGGAAGGGGTTGCGGGCAGTTCTAAGCAAGCTGTGTGCAAGCCAAGGGCAGGCTGTTTGCTTCCTAAGTAAGAGCTCGCCAGGCCATCCTGCTCTTCCGCGGGGATGTGCCCCGTGAGCCACTGCCTCCAGGCAGCCCACCAGTCTTGGCAGAAGGAGAACCACGCTGGTCTTGGGGCGGCATCCACCTGCAAGCGCCCCCCAAGATGAAAACCTTAATAAGGCACTTGAAGGAAGTTTAAAAAATATCATCTGAAATGTTTCAACGGACTCTTTCTTCGGAAAGAAACTATAAAGATTAACTTAGACCACTCTTAATTCTCAAAAATCCTAAAGTGGTAAAGTCATAGCTGATGCATCTTTATCATGGTAATTGACCATACCTAATAAGATCTTAAGAAAATAAAAACAAATTCTGTATTTATGCTAGTCACAGTGATTGCCAAGCTGGAATGTTCTGGATTCCTGTGATACTTGTGAGTGAGTCAAGCAAGGAAAGTTGGTTAAAGAGAAGAACAGTAATAGTAACAAAAATAAAAACAAACCAGCAGGCAGGGAGTGAGCTGAGGAGCTGTACCTATTCTGTTGATAAAATTATCTAATTCTAGTAGGAAAAGGGTAGAAACCATCCACATTTTTTTTAAAGATGTATTTATTTATGCATACAGGACTGGGGTACAGGCCAGAGGTGCTGGGGCAGTGAGAGGATTCATCAGAGACAGAGTGGGGAGCAGAACAGGCAGATCGTGGAAGTACACTGCTGAGGGGAGCAGCGGGCAGGTCAGGAGACGTCTGCCTCGCCATGTGGTCACCTCCAGGGCGGGGATCGAACTCGTGCTGAATTGGCTTTAGCTTCTCAGTGCTGTGGTTTAACCTGCTGCACCACCAGGGAGGGCCGGAAACCATCCACATTTTATATAAGATGGTACTTTAGAAATATCGCCCATGGCCCACATACAGGGTTTTTCCTCTGTTCCCTTTAGCTATAAGGTGTGCTATTTGGGGTTACCATAGGAGTTTGGGGACATTTTGAGAAAGGTAGTGACTAGTCAGTAGGGAATAGAGGGGACAAGAAGCTCCAAAATGGCACTTAGAGTGGATTCCATGGAGCTGCAAATAGCAGGCTGATTCAAACCATAACGTGAAACAGGGAAATACCACTTTATTCCACTTTTATGAGGACGGAGTTAAGTTTTATTTCAGTGAGTCACAAATTACTTAACATGCTGAAATGAAACTTAACAGCACTCATAAAAGTGGGAATGAGTCGGGGGAAGAAACGCAAACATTGTCTATTTTTCTGCAAGTCCTTATAAATCAGGAGTCCCATCACTCATGATTCCTACTGTCGGCCTCCAGCACAGAGAAAGCGAGTTCCCGGGCCGCCCACACGCAGCGCGCCTCGCCGCTCCTGGCTTTCGAGGGCCGCGTCCCTCTGATGGCCAGACCCGAAGTTACCCCAGACCGGACAGGCTTGGAAGCTTTAAGACCACTGTAGCTTCTGCACATATAGCCAACGTGCTCTGGCAGGAGACACTTCCCGAGACCCTAACAGGTGCATGTCCTGGGTTTGCTGAGCCCGAAAGCAGAATACTGCAGGGTCGGTGGCCTCTGGGGTGGCAGGATTATGCGCGGCGGTGCTCCCCCAGGGCCACCCCAGAGGGACTCTGGACTGTGTGCTGAGGAGAGTGGGTAGCAGAGCTTAAAACTCGAGTTGCCCTGCATCCCTTTTATCTGATTAACTTTCCATAGCAATTTCTAGATTAAACCAGCTCACCGGGCCACATATTTGCTCTCCTCCCTCCCAGATCCCGCTAGACCAAAGGCACGGCAACGGAGTGCAAACCATGCAGAGAAAAAACTGACAAAAGAAAGCTGTCCCCTCTTTCTGGAGGATGAGTGGGGGACGTGTCATCGGGCAAACAAAGCAGCCAGGGTCAGAATGAGAGCACACACTAGTCCTAATCAAAACGACAGAAACAATAAGGAGATAGATCACCATGTTCTTGCAGCTCTGTTTATAGTGGCCTGGAGCTGAAAACAACCCCTCAGTTGACAGATGGAAAAAGAAGGCAGTGGAATACTATTCAGCTACAAAAAATGCTGATGAAATCCTGCCATTTGCAGCGTCCTAGATGTACCTACAAGGAATTCTGTTTAGTGAAATAAGCCAGAGAGAGAAAGACAAGCACCACATGATTTCAGTTATATTCTGTATAAAGAAAACAATCAGATCAATTAAATTAAACAAGAATACACTTTGGACTTTAAGACCAGATAGTGGTTGCTTGAAGGGGAAGAGGATGGGTATCTCAGGTGAAAGGGAGCAATGGTGTGATGAAGGATGGATTTGGACGACGTTTTTTTTTTTTAAAGATTTATTTATCGGTCCTCCCTTGTGGCGCAGTGGGTTAAAGCACAGCACTAAGAAGCTTAAGCCACTTCCGCATGAGTTCGATTCCCGCCTGCCCCGGAGGAGACCACATGGTGCGGCAGACCTCTCCTGACCCGCCCGCTGCTCCCCTCAGCAGTGTACTTCGTCGATCTGCCTGTTCTGCTCCCCACTCTGTCTCTGGTGAATCCTCTCACCCTCCGCATCTCTGGCCTGTACCCCAGTTCTATATGAATAAATAAATAAATCTTAAAAAAAAAAAAGATTTATTTACCTATGCATACAGAACTGGAGTACAGGCCAAAGGTTGGGAGAGGGGGACTGGTGAGAAGATTCACCAGAGACAGAGTGGGGAGCAGAACAGGCAGATGTACTGAAGTACAATGCTGAGGGGACAGTGGGCAGGTCAATGGAGGTCTGCAGAGCCATGTGGGTCACCCATCCTGTCTGGGGATCGAACTCGTGCTGCAGTGGCTTCACAGTGCTGTGCTTTAACCCACTGCACCACCAAGGAGGACCCAGATTTGGACTTGTAATGGTGAACTCAGTGTAGAAAATACACATGTTAATTCTCAACAATAAATATCTGAAACTTACATAATATAATAAAGTGATATTACTTCAATTAAAAAAAAAAGCCGAATGCAGAAAAGGGGCTAGAATTTGGGAATAGAGGGCGAAAGTGAGAAGTTGGCTGAAAACAAAGAGCTAAGTCAAAGGCCCCTATACTCTGTCTAGCCAGGCCCAGCCCTGCACGTGGAGCCTGGTGGCTTTGAGGTCATTACATGCGGGCAGAACAGCAGGATGTTTCCAAAGTCCCGTGATAAACTGCTCAAGGACAGCTGGCTATGGGCGGCCCCAGGGCTCGAGCACAGCGCTCACCCTTTGGGGACCGACTCCAGCTTCCCTTCCTCCAGCCCTCAAGAGATGACTTCTTGGCACATTCCCAACCAAATGTAGTGCTCTCAGTCCACTTTTCTGTGTTCTATTCTCAATCTCTAATAGAGATTTCAACCAGAAATCATTAGTTTTTTAAAGCCAACTACCAACAGGCACAAGGAAAACAAACAGAAAAATTGAGTGTGGCAGAAAATTGAGAAAATTACAGAATTCTGTTGCAGCTAAATGAGCAACCAACCAGGCGGGCACAATTAAGTCATTTTGAGACATGGAAGAATTCAGAAATTTTATTTTCCATGCATTTATTCTAAAGGAAGGAAGGGTCACCTGGGAAACCAAGGGTAAGTGGACAAAGAGAAAGATGAGTCCTTCGGGAATCAGTGGAACTCACCCAGGGGCCCAGGGAATGTGGGTGAGGGGTGTGCTGCTGGCCTGGAAAAAATCAGTTCAAATTAAAACAAGAAACATTCTTTCTTCAGTAGAAGAAAGAATGAGGCCATAGTTGGAAGGTGGCTATTAAGCTGAAGAAAGTGTTCCACCTCCCAGCGAGCGGGGAGTGAAACCCAAGGATCATCTATGGAGATTGATTGAGAAACACCATATAACCCAGCAAATCCACTCCGAGGCATTTATCTGAACAATATGAAAAAACTAATTTAAAAAGACGTATGCTTCTGGCAGCAATGGTCACATGAGCTAAGCATGGAAACCACCCTAGAAGATCTATATGTACTTGATGGGATACAGTTCAGCTCTAAAAAATATGAGCTTGCCTTTGAGACAACATGGATAGAACTCATGGAGACAGTGCTAAGTGAAGTCTGTCAGTAAATGAAAAACTCCCAAGATGATAAAGCATACACTGTCTAAAAATGATGATGTAAAAAATAAAATATACATATATATATATGTATATAAACAGACAAATAAGTAAAAAGAAAATGAATGAAAAACCCTGGAGGGTTTCACTCAGATGGGATATAAATTGACACACTAACAAAACAGCAGAAATAACTCTTAGACTCAGAAAAATGTGAAGACCAGAAGGGAGGGATAAAAGGGTGTAGGAGGAGTGGAGAGAGCAGCTCTGAGGTTGACACAGAAACCTTGCTAGTAGGGCAGAGTGGCGTAGCAGACACAGGTGTCATGCTGTGAAGAACAAAGCCCCTCAAATCTCCAAAGTCCTGTTCAAATCAAAGCGAAAGAAGTTGCGTCGTGTTGAGAGGGCTGGTGGTCCAACTTGGGACAGAGAGGACAGTCACGAGGGCTCTCTGGGAAAGCCAGGCCCCTGCTCCCAGGTTTGCCGGGGCCCGGCTGCGTAAGAAGTCATCCTCCTTGGGCATCCGTGGAATGCGTGTTATGTGCTCCCTGTCTTGCCGGCCACTGTGTGCAGGGGTAGACGGGGTACAAAGAACTCTCTGCCAACCTCCACGCGCTTGCATTCTGGTGGGAAGAAGAGAAGCTCGTGTGAGCAGAACAGCGTGGTGAAGGCCTGGATGCCAGCCAGGGAAAGCGCCCAGCAGAAAGTGCATAGGCTGGAATTTGATTTGCTCATTTATCAAATATTTATGTTGAAGGCATTCCATGAGATGGCCGCCAGAAGGGGTGTAGTCAAGAGGGTCTCTGTCTTCATCCCACATACACACAATTCATCATCCTGGGTGCTGGGGCAGGTACGGGAAATCGTGTCATGGGCTGAGTGGAGGCTGTGAATGGTGTGACAGTTCCCCCCGAGGAGATGGCACTTGAGGAAGGGCGAGCCTGGCTGGGAGGTGGAGGGATGGAAGTGCTCTCGCCACAGAGAACTGCTGGCAGGACCTGCAAGCAGCCCGGGAAACCACGTAGGTGGCTGTCAGTGTGCAGGGAGCCAGGGGCTGCTGTCACGGTCATCTGCCGGTGCTACACCTCCCTCCAGGACACCTCAGCCCAGAGGTGACAGGGGGGCAGCAGGAATCACCGCACTAGTGGGTAGCCCATTCATAGAGAGCTAGAACAGGCACTCCCACCCCCACGACTCAACCCCAGGACAAACAGAGGAGTCCTCTCCGTGAAGCCTCTCTCTATACCCCTTATTACCCCCAAAGTCTCCTGAGCCACAGCATCATTAGAAACACAGATCTCTGGCCCCCATCCTGGCAGTGGGTGACTTTCAAGTCCTCCAGATGGTTCTGGAATATACTGGAGTTTGGAGACCACTGACCCAGGTGATTGGGCCCCTGAGCCCTGGGGCTTGACTACCACAGGTCAGACCAGAGGGTTGTTCCCACCAGAAAGCACAGCAAGGCGAGTCTGAAGGAGCCTCCCTGAGTGTCTTTACCATCTTGGGAGACTAGTTGTTCCCTAAGGTCCAGTCACTGCAGCTAACAATAATAATAATAACCAGAGCTGGCTTGCACTTCAGAACAGTACCATCGGGTGCCCCAGCCTAGAGACCAACTGTGTTCCTAAGACGCTCCGTTGGGCAGATGCCTACAAGATGTGCCCTGCTGGCATGCCCCTGAGCACCCAGGCTAGAGGCTGGGCAAGCTCTGCTGCACCAGCCAGCAGCTGCACCCAGTCCCGCAGGGCCTGTGGGCTGCCAACTGCCTTAGACTTTGCCTCCGAGAAGAACGTCAACTCCTAACACTGCACCTGCTTAATTGCGGGGTCCCGGGAGGTCTGAATCAGAGCTGGCTGGAGACTTCAGCGCCCCTGTGTGCCCAGCGCCTGCACCTTGGGCCTGTCGGCCACCTCAGCACCCTCAGTGTGGCTTCTGCCCTATGTCCTGAGTCCTGTCCATGCCATCCCGATAGAGGTCACCCACCCAGCTCCCAGAAAAATGCGTGACTGCACTTGGGGTGGTGTGGGAGCCAACTTCACCCCCCATCTCTGGCTTTTGCCTCAGGTGGCCCTGGGGCGAGGCCAGGGCTTCTGCAGGACCCTTCCTCTGTAAGAAATACTGGAAGATACAACTGATGAGTATGTGCATGGAGATCAACAGAATACCAGCGCCCGAGAGCCCCGTGGATCACAGGCCCTGTGCCTGCTGGAGAAGCCAGCCCTGTTGGCAGCCTATTTAATGCCCCTCCCCACTCCCACCCCCGCCACCAGTCTGAAACACAGAATAACCCAGTCCTCTGGTTGCTCAGAAAATCGGCTGTGACGGCATCATCGGGTCTGCGGCCAAGGAAGACCGGTGCGGAGTCTGCAGCGGGGACGGCCGGACGTGCCGCGTGGTGAAGGGCGACTTCAGCCACTCCCGAGGGACGGGTGAGTGCCAGGGAGGGCTGCACGGCTCCGGGGAGCGCGGCCCGCGTCCTGTTTTGTTTCTTTGCTTGCAAGTCAGTGGCTGTGTGCCTCGCCCGCGGTGATCACTTCTGAAAGGCAAAGGAAGGCCTTTGAGCCAGAGGTTCTTCGGGTTCCTAGCGAGGAGTTGAGTGCTCAGTGGCACAGCCCCAAGGCCAGGAAACCACAAGGCCACCACCCTGCCCTGACTGGCTCGGGGCTTCATGTCAGCCCTGCTGCTGTTCAAATTTTAATGATAACCCATTACGATTGCACAGAAGAGAGTGGCAAAGTCACTTGGCCAAATCCTTTTTACTGGAGAGGGAATGGCTTTTCTCTTTGTGAGTTTTCCATGAATAAAAGTGGGAGCGCATTCAAACTCGCCCCTAAATTGCTCCCAAAGCCCCTTCTGGGGAGTCTGAGGTGCCTTTGATGACAGTGAGGGGGTGACTCCCACTCCCCAGATGCACACTCTGCCAGCGCTGTGCTTGGAGGTGAGCGGTCCTCTCAGGGCCTCCTGTCTCTGCCGGAGTCATCGCCACAGCTTCCCCAGAGGTGGGGTGGCCTCTGCCCCCCTGTCCTGCAGGTTCCAGCCCATGGCATCAAGGAAAGTAGCCAAGTGGCCACTTACAGAGACGCGCCCCAGGCGGGGTGTGACCGGGATGGTGAGAGGCCCAGGCGGGGTGTGACCGGGACGGCGAGGGGCCCGGGCGGGGTGTGACCGGGACGGCGAGGGGCCCGGGCGGGGTGTGACCGGGACGGAGTCCGCTTACCCAGCGTCACCAAGAGAACTTGGGTGCAACTGAGCCGAAAAGCGTCTGCAGTGATTACT